AGAAATCCCACAGGGAATCCTATGGACAGAGCATCAGCCAAGTCAGACAACAACCAGAGATTTAGACACATCATCCAGAAACCAATCCAGTGAAACAATTCTCAAAAACCATAAGCAAGCAAACAAAAGTACAAAACTGAAATTATGTAATTGGAGGCATCAATTGGAAAATGATGACAATTACAAAGAGAACAGAGGGCATGACTGGTATAATTACTCTGCCCAAGGAGTGGAGGCTGCTGAGACCAGATGCTTGAGAGGTGGTGGCACAGGTCTCAGAGGAGCAGCTCTGATACTATGGGACTGATATTATGGGACTGTGAGGCAGAGGGGCCAAGTGACTTCCTAGCCCATGAAGTAAAAGGTCAAGGGACCATACGGCTGAGAGACTGAGGACCAGGAAGAGGCTTGGCTTCTGGCTGAGAAGAGATGTTGCTGTGGCCCAATGACTATCCTTAATGTTTGCTGATCCTGATTTGTCGTAACCTAATGGATTCCCTAATAACCCCAAACTCACTGCCATCAAGTTGATGCTGACTCATAGGACAGGATAGAACTGCTTCTGTGATTTTCTTAGACTACTACTCTTTGTGGGAGTACAAATCCCCATCTTTCTTCACCTTCCCCAATAACCCTCTTTATATGAATCTGTGATTTCTGTGGGGCCAATCTCCTGAATTATCAAACCCAGCACAGAAGTAGAGTGCCATAGGAGGAAGAGTTGGGGTCAGAATATGTAAACCAGGGGGGAGCATTGAGGCACGTCTGGGTTCAGTGTAGCAATAATAAAACTCACAACCTTCCTCTAGTTCTTAAACGCTTCTTTCCCCCAACTATCATGATCCCAATACTACCTTGCAAACCTGGTTAGACCAGAGGATGCACAGGGGTACAGATGGGAACTGGAAACACAGGGAATCTAGACAGGCGAGCCCCTCAGGACCAGCGATGAGAGTGGTAATACCGGGAGGGAAGGGGGGATATAAAAGGGGAATCGATCACAAGGATCTACATATAACCTCCTCTCTGGGGGATGGGCAACAGAAGGGTGGGTGAAGGGAGACGCCGGGCAGTGTAAGATAACATATAACAATAATTTATAAATTATTAAGGGTTCATGAGGGAGGGGGGAGTGGGGAGGGAAAAAGGAAAATGAGGAGCTAATTCCAGGAACCCAAGCAGAAAGCGAATTTTGAGAATGATGAGGGCAACCAATGTATAAGTGTGCTTGACATAATTGATGTATGTATGGATTGTGATAAGAGTTGTATGAGCCCCAATAAAATGATTTAAACAAATAACATAAAAATAAAAAGAATAATCCAGAGGTTAAAAAAAAAGAAAGATGGAGAGTTTGTGTTCCTTCTGTTCTTCAGTGGCTTTGTTGTGACCCAAGTGCGAAAAGCAGAGTAACATATTGAATCAGTGGTTCTTAGCTTTTCCTGTCGTTGCTTAGTTCCCTCAAGTTGGTTAGGACCCATAACAACCCTCTGCAGAATGCAGAATAAAGCAACGCTGCCAGGTCCGGCAGCATCCTCCCGGTTGTTACAGCCAAGGTGTCAATGCAGCTTGTTGAGGGCCTTCCTCGTCTTCACTGCCCCAACACGTTACCAAGCAGCATGTCCTTCTTCAGGGACTGGTCCCTCCTGATAATACAGCCAAAGTATGGAAGATGAAAGCTCACCATCCTTGCCTCTTAGGAGCACTCTGGCCATGCTTCTTCCAAGGTGGACTGGTTTGTCCTGTCAGCAGTCCATGGTACTTGTCTTCTCCAGCACAATTCAGATGCATCGATTCTTCCCGGGCCTTCCTTATTCAATGTCCAACTTTCACACATATATGAGCCAATGGAGAAGACCATGGCTCGGGGGAGACTCACCTTAGTCCTCAAAGTGACATCCTTGCTTGTCAGTACTCTGAAGAGTTCCTGTGCAGCAGATCTACTTAATACATCTTTTGTTCTCTTGACCACTGCTTCCAAGAGCATGCATTGTGAATCCCAGCAAGATGAAATCCTTGATAATTTCAATGTTTTCCCAGTTAATCATGATGTTCCCTGTCGGCCCACTTGTGGGAATCGCAGGCTTCTTTACATTGAGCGGCAATCCATATTGATGCCCGCAATCCTGGATCTTCACCAGCAAATGCTTCCATTCCTCCTCGCTTTTAGCAAGCAAGGTTGTGTCAATTGCATATCGCAGGTTTTTAATAAGCCTTCCTCCAAGCCTGATGCCACATTCTTCTTCATATAATCCAGCTTCTCTGATTATTTTCACAGCATTCAGATGGAACAAGCATGATGAGAGAACACAACTTTGACACACATCTTCCCGGATTTTAAACAATGCAGTGTTCCCTTGTTTTGTTCACACATTGAAGTATCAGCAATCTATATAATATCTTTGTTGTTTCTTCGTAGAACATGGAACATGCTTCTTATTTTTAGTTACACATAGATTTTTCCAGTATGGATCTCTGCCAAGAGCAAGCAGCTGGACTGTGGACTTCCTCTGCTGTTGCTGCAGATTGGAATTTATATCTACCCTTGTGAGTGCCCTTAGCCTAGCACTCCTTTCCCTTTCTGCATGTGAGATTGATTGATTGAATAGAGGAAAGGGTGTCAGAAGCAGCCCAGGAAACTTTAAGAACCTTATTTTATTGGAAACGCTTGCTTTTGAAACTGCTACTATATTGGGGTGGGAATGAAGAGTGTGAAACTCATTGCAGTTATAAACGACTGAGCTTAATTCAGGAAGTAGAAAAATGTTTGTGAGAATTAAGTTTGTGAAAATCAACTTAATTTTACTCATGCCAAAATGTTAAATGGAAGTAGGGTCAAAATAAGTGGAAAGATAGTAGTTAATTTGCCCCCATTTATCTTCCAAAAGCACAGAAAGGAAACAGCAGTAGGAGGGTGAATATAAGTGTAGCCAGATACTGTTTGAATTACCAAACAGCCTCGACATTTTCCATGAAAGTGAGACATTTCCAGGAAAAATAACGTGGTGTCCTGAAATCACTGCTTAAGATTGAAAAGGAATATGTATCAAGAAGATGGAGAGATCAAAGGGAGTTGTCCATCTTCTCCCTGATATGATTTTATCCACCATTTAGTTTCATGTAAATTTGTCAGTTGTTTTGTCTTGTAGGCAAAATACAATACACAAGAGCAAAATGATACGTTTGTAAGTGGTGTGCAGACAGAAAAAGACATTGGGACTGTTATTAGAACACTACCAAATTACACCAAATTACCAGGTTCATTTAAAACGGTCCTTTGGTACTTGGATTCTTTTTAAAAACATGGTGCATCCAAGTAGGGTGGCATATTTGTGGATGTTCATTTTATTATCTTTCTTCATAATGTGTCTAATATTATAAGAATTATTTTATAGGTATCAAGTATTATATAGCAAAATATAACCATGTATTGTTCAAATGTAAAAATGTATTGATACATCTATGAAAACAGTAATATCTATATATGTGCATGTGTGTATGTACATCACATCCAACTCTGGACCACATTATCCTTTCTCCTCCTAAATATGAACATAAACACCATAGCCAAAATACTCTTCTCACAGGTGAGCCCTTGAACATGCCAAAGGAATTCATCGTTCAGTTCTTTTTGCACACATGTTTTCTCTTATGCCACGTGACTTTCTCATCTAGAGATGGAACGGTGTCCATGATTAGCCATCTACCAGTCATCCTTGGCATGTTTTCAGAGTGGTCCCAACATTGTCAAGAGCGACATATTTTTGCTGACCTTCACAGCATTATCCTGAGACTTAATCTGCAGACAAGAGATGTTATTCAAAATTCATATCTATTTGTTAGACAATGTTTGTAAGACATAAATAATGTATATTTTTTAATGCTTTAATCTTTAAATTTGACGCACCTGAGGATTTTTATGAGGCCGTGTCTTTGCAAGAAGATTGCATTCGGACAGTTGAGGAGTGTAAAGATTGGTCTGCTAACTTTCTAGACGGAACTGAAGTGAACATTCTGCATAAAGGTATGGAAATCATGCATCTCACAGGTAGCATTAGGCTTTCAAAGTCCTGTGACTTTGAGGCCACCATCTAACCAGTTTAGCTTAATATCAGACCATGTCATATTGATTACAATATGAAACTGTGCAC